CATCTAAAGGGGTAGAGGAAAGAATTGGACATTATTCTCTCCAGCACTTACTGCCAGGCTATGCAAGGCTCTGCCTCAGAACACAGAAGAAGCAGAATCTTGGCATCTGTCCTGTAGGAACTCATAAACCACTTCTGGAAGATGAGATCGATGCTTATACATGGCACTGAAGGTGGGCTTTTAGGTGGGCTGGCCCTAAGTGTTCCTGGCGCTCGCAGAAGAGGGAATTGGGTGAGGCCTGGAGTTGTCAGGAAGGCTTCATAGATCTGGCAGAGGTTGAGCTGGGCCGGGAAAGTTGGGTAGATGTTTGAAAAGTTGGAGGTAAAGTTGGAGATGTCACAGGAACTCTGTAGCTCTGTAGGAACACAGTAGGGTACACAATCAAAAGTATTTCTTCCACTGCCCTTGAACCATTCTTTGAATCCCTCCCCCAAGGCTGGCTGTGCTTCCATGTTCCAGTGTACACTTACAGAAATACTCATTGTGGGGCACCTGGGTGGCTCAGTTGGTTGAGCATTCCACTCTTGATTTCTGCTCAGGTCATGATCTCAGGGTCCTGAGATTGAGCCCCGTGTTGGGCTCAGCGCTCAGCATGGAGTCTGCTTGTCCCTTTCCCTCTGCTCTGCTCCCCTGTGTGCACGCACTCTCTCTCTCTCTCATAAATAAAATCTTTAAAAAAAAAAAAAAAAGAAACAGTGCATCTGCACTCTGCTTTCTCTTGTTTGTCTTCACAGACTTATTGCATATTTACCCAGAAAGGCATCCATTCTTTTCCATGGTGGTGTTATAGTCCATTGTGTGGATGTAATTGTATTTTAATCATTTCCCTATTAATGGATACTCTGATTGATTTTAGTTTTTCTTATGACAAGGCTTAAGTGAACACCCTATGAGTAACCCCTTGCAAATGTCCCTGTGGAACAGATTTCTTCAAGTGAAGTTGCCTCTCAAACGTTATATACCTTTACAATTTGACCAACAAAGGGGCACCTGGGTGGCTCAGTCAGTTAAGCATCCAACTCTTGGTTTCAGCTTAGGTCCTAATCTCAGGGTCATGAGTTTGAGCCCTGTGTTGGGCTCCATGCTGGGTATGGAGCCTACTTAAAAAAAAAAAAAAAGTGACCAAGAAAAAGTTCTGTTCATATGCACTCTGACCAGACTGTAAGAGAGTGGCTTTTCATCCAAAGTCTCATCAGTACTGGGTATTAGTCATTTAAAATTTTATCTAATTTATGACAGATTTCTTGTTCTAATGATGTAGTTCTTTAATCACTATTGAGAGTAGGTACCTATTTTTGTACATTTATTAGCCGTTTCTAGTTCTGTGAATTTTCCATTTTTGTACAGATTGATCATTCTTTTGTATGTGTTCTTTATATATTAGTGATGTTAACCTTTTTGTATTGTATGTTGCATGTATTTTTCAAGTCTGTCATTTTTGAAAGATTTTATTTATTTGGGGGAGAGAGCACACAAGGTGGGGGCAGAAGGAGAGGGAGAAGCAGACTGCCCGCTGAGCAGGGAGCCTGATAAGGGACTTGATCCCCGGACCCTGAGATTGTGACCTGAGCTGAAGGCAGACACTTAACTGACTGAGCCATCCAAGTGCCCCAAGTCTGTCATTTTTTTTTTTAACATTATGGTGGCTTTCACCATAGTCATTTCAAACTTTTATGTAGTTAGTTTATTAACCTTATTTATAGTTCTGAGATTTGTGACTTGCCTGGAAGGCCTTTCTCCCATCTGAAAATAGCAAAATATTCCTCTGTATTTTCTTGTAGTATTTTTTATCTTTCCTGCACACATACATACACACACTCCATTTATGTCTTTGGATCTTTAATCATTTGGAAATATGTTTTTGTGGTAGGATACATGGTCTGATTTCCTTTTCTGAAAGTAGATGCCATATTGTTTGGACACCATTGGCTGATGACCCCTTGATTTGAAATGCTGTGGTAATTGTAATTAAGTACAGGTTTGATGTGAACCATTCATCTGTAACATTGATCTCCTTGCTTTAGTCTTGCTCCTAGAACCCCAGGGTCTTAAATTGTCACTCTCTCACACATTTGCTTATCTGGAAATGCAAGTCCTCTCACACTATTCTTTTTGGAAATTTTACTGGCCGTTCTTATGCATTTGCTCTTTCATATGAGCTTAGTTTCAACTTACCAGGTTTCAGAACACAACAGTATATCCCACTGGGGTTTTATTGGGTTTGCATTGAACTCAAAGAATTTTTAAGTGGCAGTTGACAGCATCGTAATGTTGAGACTAGATCCAGTGGCCCATGTTTGGTCATGGCTCTTCTTTTCGCTGCCACCATCTGAGCCACTGTCCCTTCTACACTGGGCTTCAGAAGCAGCCCATCAGGTGTCTCCTTGTGACCACTGGCCCCTCTGATCCCTCTTCACACTGGGCCAGGGCTTTATGTCAGGTGTTCCCTGGACTTGAGAATATTCCCTTTCCAGCCCCTCTTCCTTCAGTAATTTCTCATCTGTGGGTCTTTTCTCAGTTGTCATTTCCTCAAGGAAACCTTACCAACTACGCAGAATTTCCTTCCCACAGTTGCCTTTCCCATCCTTACCCCTTCTTCTGAGTCCAGTTGTCATTCCGCATTTGCTCTGAGTTTTCTGAGCACAGCGCTGTGTGTGCCGTTCCCTCGTGTGGTCCCTCTGCCCTCACTGGAGCAGGTGCTTCTTAGATGCTCCTTAGTGCCAGTGAGCTTGGTGTTTTCCTCTGTGTCTTCATGTCTTTAAGTAAAACCTTCACAGTTTGCTTTCCATGGTTGTGTCTGTTTTTTGTTAAGCTTATGTCTATAACATTTCCTATTTGTTTTGTTGCTGGTGGGGAAAAGCTGTTGATGTTTGAACATTCTTGAATCTGCCCGTCCTGCTGAACTCAGCCCTCATTGCTGCCTGTCTTGGTTGGCTTCCTCCTCAGGCTCATTGGGTACTGGTTAGGTGCAGCAGCCCCAGCCTCACCTCTGACCCTAACAACCTGCAGAGGAAGCAAGAGATTGTTGCCCCCAAAAGATTTCTGAAGAGCAAGGAGGGGCTTTCTCCTCAGCAGCCCCCAGCTCATTCGCTCTCTTCTCTGGCTCAGATAGCATCCCAGGCTCATTGTGGAGTCCCTCCCGGGTGAGGGCGGGGCTCAGCTCTGCACAGCCAATCAGTTCCAACTTCCCCGGGGCTGACTCCCCTCATTACCGGGGCGGTGGGGAGGTGGTGGGGGGATTGTCACTTTGTATAACCGGGATTCTGCTAGAGAGGCCAAGGGGCAAATAGGCCTGGGGTGAAAGTCTACACTGGACATCCAACAGAATGGTCCTATGACTTTCCCATCAACCCAGTTGAACACTTTGATAAAACTATGAGATGTCCTGACTTGGAGCCATTCTTTTATTCCTGGGGTAAATCGTGTGTACCAGTCTTTGAACATCTGCTTGTGTTTTGATCTGTTTTGGACCTTTTGTCCATATTCATGAGTGAGATTTGTCTGTGTTACGGGAAGCCCTTTTAGTAATGGGAATTAATAGAGTGGAAAGATTCTGGGATGCAAAGGTCACTTAGTTCCTGGGCCACTGTGGCCACGTCACCTAGCCTCGCTGAGCCTGCTCCTCACTGGCATGGTGGGGACAGCCCTGATGGACTTGGGCTGCCGTGAGGAGCAAATAGTACCCATGAAAGCAACTAACCAGTTGCTCTCCAGTGCTAACATGGCACAGACTCAGAACTCTGTCCCATACGTACATTCAAGGCACTGTGTTTGTGAGCTTCTTCCATGAGGAGACAGGTTTGGAGAATGCTAACAGTGGAGATTTCTCTCGGCTTTCTTCATATAAACCATCATCAGAAAACCAGCCTTGTGCAGGAGGAGAGGCCCTGGGAACATGACGGTAAACATTACATTATTGGTGTTCGGATATTAGGTTCCTGCTTTTCATAATATCCTCAGGGTGCGGGGGAAGATTCGATATTTTCTCAGATTCTGCTGTAAAGTGCAAGTTATTGCTGGTACCGTCACCTGATTATTCTGTACCTATTTTACTTAGACTGTAGTAATTGGAAAAAGATTAGATTTCAGGACTTTGTATTTTGTTGATTATATTACCAGAGCCTCTTTAATCGTTTCTTTTATTCCTAATATTAATCATGAGCTCCTAGCTGTTACGAGAAGAGCCTGATGGTGGATTCCTAACTTAAAGGAAAGAAAGAATTACTTCAGTTTCCGTGGGATTGACTGAGTGTTGATACACCTGCAAATTGAAACGTGTTCTCTCGCCGTCCAGGGCGTGTGGCTGTGACACTGGGGAGACGCAGAAGGTCCCGCGGACCTCACGGGCTGGTCTCCTCCCCACCCGCCGCCCCCCAGTCTCTGCCGTACCCTCTCCCACCCCCTGGACCCCCCACCCGTGGGTATTTGTGGAGGCAGCAGCGACTGTAGTAGTCTGCCTTGAAAGTCGTGGCTGCCCCCTTGATCAGTGCTCTGTGGACACAAGCTTGTCTCTGCAACACTGTCTCTTTCAAAGCAGTCCTGAGCAAAGCACCTCATATTCGTAAGCTGGGAATGGGGAGAGGGAGATAGGATGCAGGAAAGAAGGGAGCACCGGGCGGGTGGCGGAGGTGGGGACAGGTGTCGGGGGGACGGAGGGAGGGAAGGAGGGGGCGTGTGGAGGGGCCTCAGCTGCTCCAGGGAGGAAGGTGTGTGGTGCTCCACCTGTCCCAGGGTGGCTCTGGGGACACTTGCCGTGCATTTAGCAAACGTGCACTCTGTGTGGCTTAAATGTAGACACTTAGCTTTGCTGGAGCGGAGGTCACTCAGCGTCTCTCGTATATTGAGAACAATCAGTATCTGAAATCTTTCTCACTTAGGTTCACTCTGGTTTCATTTATGGGGCCCCCTTCCCCCCAGGAACACTGACGAAATAGGTCAAGGCCCTGCGGGGAGTTCCCTGTTTGTAAACCCTGTTTTCTTTGTCTCTTTGTTGTCAACAGAGGAATTACGGAAGTTGAGCTGGTCTGGAATCCCTAAGCCGGTTCGTCCAATGACCTGGAAGCTGCTCTCAGTAAGTCTTGGGGGGCCTGCTCACCAGTGCTGCCTGGCCCAGAGTATGGCCCCGAGTGTGACCCGGAGCGTGGCCCATCAGCCATGGCCAGGCACGTGCCTTGTCTTTGTGGCAGTGATCTGGGCCTTTGCCTGAGCTAAGGTGACATTTTCCATCTTTTGCTTCATTACAAGCTTGGTTTGACAAGGCTGGCAGAAAATGAGCTTAAGTAATTATTTATGACAGCTGTATTCTTTTCCTCTGGTTTTATTATTCTAGAAATCTTTGTAATATTTTCAAACCTGTGATAGAGAAAGGATCCATCATAGAAGACTATTTCAATTCTTAGGAATTCATCACAGTGAAATATGTTTGACCATTTTTTTTTTAATGTACTTTAGTAGTGATGTAAGGGGGAGAAAGTGATTCTAAAAGTATCTGTGTTTCCTTGATGGAGGCTGGGGTTCTGGTGCCTCACCCCTGGTTCTAAACTGCCCACCTGTGGAGACTGCTGGAGAAGATGAGGTGGGCGGGGTGGAGCGGCCATCAACACTCTCTCTGGTACTTCACTCGGGTTAATATCTGAAGTGAGCTTGGCCCTGCTGAAAACTTTGGAGTAGTTTATAGACAGTTTTCTTCTCTTTCCCTTTTTAAATTATTTTTGGAGCTAAATCAGTAGAGAACTCTAAGTGTTTACTCTAAATTGGGTCTTTCAGTATTTAAAAGACTCTTTCTTGCTAATGAGTCTTAATAAACTTACAGCTTAGTACCTCGTAATCCTAAATGCAGATGCCGCTCTCAACAGTGAATATTTATTGATTAAATATTCTCTTGCAATTAAAATTAGACCTGCTACAATTGCTTATGTTTCTGTTTTGTGTCTGTTATTTTAAGCATTTGTATCTACTTTTCCAAATGTCCTGTACAATAGGTTACAAGCTTTTTAGATTGAACTGTAGGAAGTTTGGACGATAATATGTTTAAGACTTTATAGTGCAATTTTATATTCATTAAGGTTGTGCTGCCTCTGGGTAGAAAGCCTTCCTGAATGGTTTTGTCCCATTCCTTTCCTTTGGTTCTCGGTCTGTGTGCATTGTAGCTGAGCTACCCTGTGTGTGATGCCCAGTGGCTGGCTGGGCAAGTGTGTGACCTGGGATTGAGTGGGCACTGGAGCAGAAGGGGGAGGAGATCGGTGCTCCCCTTTGTTGGTTTGAATGGGAGGGAGGGTGTAGGTGGGTAGAGTCTGTAACCAGGAATGTTGGGAATACAAGGGAAAGAATACCTGGGCATCTCAGATACATGTATTTGTGTAACCCGTTAACTGACTGCAGGGACCCCTTGCCTGGAGACAGAGATGAATCAGATCTTAGTCCTCCCTGTTAGGAGGGGCTGGGTCAGGTCAGGGCTGCAGGACAGTCTGGGATCACACACAGTGGGATGTGTGGGATGTAGGCAGGAAGGAACGGGCAGCCGCAGAGCAGGGGCATGTGTGCCAGGCTGGGCTTCCCTTTCCCAGGGTCTGCAGGTGCTGCGAGGTGGGAGGCTGGGGACTGGGAAGGACAGAGATGAACTTGGCAGTTCTGGACCTCTTTAGGCTTGGGTTGACGGATGAGTTAAAAAAAAGTGTTGGGGTTGGTGAGCAAAGCCTGTCTTTCCAAAGTGGCGGAGGGTGGGGGCACCAAGAAAGGGAGGGGTGGTTCCAGGGCAGTGCAGACTCCTGTGGATGGCAGGCCAGGCTTCTTGGTGAAGGTGGGGTGTTTCTGGAGCAACCTGAAGGATGTGTCCGTGTCCTTGGGTTGGGGAGACGGGGAGGGCGTACGGCCTATGGGATGCAGCTCGGTTTGGACGAGCAGGAGCCAAGGTGAGCTGGCTCCCTAGGAGTGGCGGGCAGACTGCTTGGATTAGGGAGGGGGTGGCTGGGGACCAGGAGCAGGCCACGATGTGAAGGACTTCAGTGAAGGGTGAGGAGGCTGTTTCTGGAGCGGGAAATCCGGGAGCCTCTTGAATGGTCTTTTGGTTGGTGCCTTCATTTATTTGATCAGTATTTCTCCAGCACTTTCTGTGTCTCTGGCTCTGTGTTTGTCACTGGGAGATAAGAAGGGAGAAGAACCAAGTCGCTGTCCCTCATGCGGCCTGCAGAAAGAGAGGGGGTCCCTGCCTTCCTCTGTCTGCCCCAGGACAGACTGGGGTCTCACCATGGGAAGGAGCCCATTCTCTCAGAAGTCTGGGCCCCAGGGCACTGCTCACCCTGTGTCTCTTCCTGTACCTTTCTGCTTGTTTAACAGCATCTGTTGAGTGCTTGCTGTGTGCCAGGCTGTGCACATGTGTGGGGTCCCTGCAGAAGCGGTGATCTCTGAATGCGGGGTTGTAGGAACAGATAGGCCGGTATCGCGACCAGGGTCTGGCACCAGGAGGAAGAATGTGCTGTGCTGCTCTGGGTGCCTGTCAGAAGGAGGAGGCGGGCAGCCAAGACAGGGAAAACTGGGCAGGGGAGGAGGGCCTAGAGGCTGCAGGGGCAGGTGGGCGGGACTCAGGCTGCTGGAGTAGGAAATTGGGTGGTCCATTGGCGCTGTGCTCACTCATCATTCAGGGGACATGTGCTCATCATGCCTTCACTATGCTCTCGTCCCGTGCTGGCAAGCAGTAACGTCATCCCAGCCTTCAAGTGTCCCCAGACAGCCCGGGGAGACAGGCCCATGCACATTCTGTATGCCCTGGGGGGGGATGGATGGGCTCTGGGCATCCCGGGGCAGGGAACCCACCAGGTTGAGGGGTGCTGGTCAAACATGGGAATGGACGGGGGGAAGGAGGTCAGAATGGTGGGGACCATCATCTCCTATCCCCTAAACGCTGACCCAGGAGCTACCTTATGAGTCTCTTCTCTCCTGGTTACTGTAATGGAAGATTTGGGGAGCACCGTGAAGGATGCCAATCACTTATTTCTGATGTGGTGAGTGTTTCCCATGCGTCTGCCCTTTGCAAGTGCTAGGTCACAAAAGAGTCTTGGAAAATGCTGGGGAGAAAACCCGGCAGGCACTTCAGGGTCATGGGCAGGAGAAGGGTCCCCCAAGTTTAGGCCACCTCTCAGTCACTCTGAATCCAAGGCTTCACGTTCCACTCTCCTGGGAAGCTTTTGTAGATATTGGTGTCTAGGCCCACAAAGCCAATTGGAGCCTTGGGGTAAACTGAGGCATCAGGGTTTGTACCAATTGCAGCCTGCCCTAGGCTGGGCAGGGGTGGGGGCGGGGGCAGCAACGCCATGGTGGCTTTGGGCTTTGGGCTGCCCTCTTGACCTCTTGGGTGCACGTGGTACCGGGGAGCTGGGGAACTGCCAATCTCGCGTCCCCAGGGATTCTCACGTGTGCCCAGGGTGGAGGCAGCTGCTCTAGGATGTATGGGTTCCACGTGGGACAGGGCAGGGCACGCACGGACCAGCTAGGAGACAGGACCCACTGAAGGCCGTACAGCTGGGCCGGGGGGTGCCTGGGCTTGACCGACAGCGTGCTGTCACAGAGGCTCAGCCGAGCGGGTGGGGTGGGGTGGCTGGGCCCAGCTCTTCGCTTCCGGGACCCTGAACCCAGGACCGAGGAGAATCTGTCATTTGTCCGGTTGAAAAAGACAGCTGAAGCTGCACTTGAGTGTGAATGGACTTCAAGACCTGGCAAACTAATGACTTTTTCCCCTAGTCTGTTCACGATTTGTCATTAACGTGATCCCAGTGGTCTGTTGAAGAGCACTATTCTTAATGGATGAGTAGGAAATGCTCCTTTAATGAAGAAAGATGGGAAACTTGGCTCCTGTCATTTACGGAAGACTAACATATACTCTAGTCCAGAACATATCGTTAAACCACCATTAATGCGATTTAACATTTAAATTCCCTGCAAGCACAGCAGTAACTTTTTAAAAATGAGCACTGTAGAAAATCGTATTTTTGGCTCATTTTTTAATAACTACTTCAGAAACATTGAACAATAATTAAACACGTAACATTTATGCTGGTGAGCAGAATGGTTAAGAGTGATCGGTGAGGTGCTGGCATCACCCTTTTTTCTCGTGGTGTGTCAAGATAGGATCGCACGTGAACCCGCGGGAGGGAGCCACTGGATGCGTGTGTCACGGGGACAATTTTGATATAAGTATATGCAGGTATTATTGTTTTACATTTATGATTAGTGTTTTTATAGCATGCTAATACGGCAATTAAGTTTTCTGTAGTTCTGTCATTTAAAATTCATTGCATACTTGAATATGTTTCGTTTGCATAATTTCCAGTCTGGCTTAATTATCTGAAGGCCCCAACTTGCACATGTGTTTTCCTTTAGGGATGGGAGTGTCAGGAGTGTGTGTGGGGGGGCTTTTTATTGCCTCTGTTCCTGTTATGACATCCTGGCCTTTTAGAATTTCTCTTTTAATAAGTGAAGTTAAAATCTGGGAGTGGGGAGAAGGTGTGAGCCCTCGTTCTCGGTCACTAAGAAGCCTGTGGTGGTACCGCGTGTGACGGATGGAAGGCCACCCACACCGTTCCCAGGCTCATACCCCTCGTTGCTCCACTGCCCTGGATGGAAGGCCAGCTCTGGCCTGGCCTACAGGGCCCCCCAGCGGCCGCTGCACACACATCCCCACTCCTCACCTCCCACGTGCTCTGGCCTTGCCGAGCGGCAGCCTGGACATGCTGCCCGGTGCGCTCAACGCAGGCGTGTGACCTTTCTCAGGGCCTCTGCTCTGTTTCTCCCTCTGCACCACTGTGTTCTCCAACAGCAAGGCTGACTCCAAACCAATCCAAAGCTGGCCCAGAACCGTGTGCTGATACTTGTCATGCAGTAGCTCAGACCTCTTCCTCCCTGGGCCCCCAGGGTTGGGGCCCTCCTGGGGTATGGTGGTCCCGCTGCACAGCACAGTATCATTCATTTGTTCGGCAAGTCTGCACTGAGTATCCGTGGTGTGCCCCTCGGGACTCTGAATGTGGGGGGCTTGCGGGGGCGGAGATAGCCTGAGCACAGGGCAAGACCTCCTGCCCT